CAGTTGTGGAGACATTTGGCTGATCTCTACAAGGAGACAAGATTTTATTTTAAAAAGTAAGTGCAGGTTTTATTTAAAAAGGTAAAAGAGCACAAATATTAGCTTTTGGTTGCTAAGTGAAAACAGCGGTTGTGTCGAAAATGGTTCAAGGTTTCTAAACATTTGACACCCATCGTTCTAGTCACATCTACTGGTCATCCATTTATACTGGGCATTCTAACTATATTGTTCTTTTTCTAGTCATTATAAAAAATGAGCAAAAAGAAAGTCTGTCTTGTTTTAAGTGTATTGCAGGAAGTAAGAAATATTGACTGCAGGATTCAATTGAGCGTCTTCAAATTTCTGATTCACATGCTCATCAGCCAATCACACTCATCTCTACATTTTTCAAACGAAGAAAAAACTTTGACATAAATCCTCAAAACAAACCTAGAATTGTTAGACTAAGAAATGGTGGAATGATGTTGCTGAGGAACGTCAGAGACATTATGAAAGAGGAGATAAATATTATTGCGCTCGAACTCGTGCCGTCCTTTGTATTGTTTCATTAAAGTTTGCTGAAAGACCTTGTATAAGAGACAACAGTAACACTTTATTTGGATAGTCCACTTTGGATGCTTTGTAGATACTTAATTTACAACCACTTCCAAAAAAGTTGGGAAGCTGTAAAAAAATATCAAATGTTAAAACTGAGAAATTTTATTGTTTTTTTTTTAAATATATGCCCATTTTAAATTTGATGCCAACAACATGTTTCAAAAAAGTTGGGGCCTGTTTACCACTGTGTTTACCTCTTCTTTTGACAACATTCTGTAAGCATTTGGGAACTGAGGAGACCAATTGCTGTAGTTTTGAAAGTGAAATGTTTTCTCATTCCTGTTTGATATTTCAGCCGCTCTAATGCATCCATATACCATCATGAATACTGGCTTTTGAACTGTGCACTGATAACAAGCTGAGTGGTCATTAGCCCAGAGTACACAGTGTCCATGATTTCTAAAAAGAATTTCAAATGTTGATTCGTCAAACTGCAGGACACTTTTCCACTTCCTCTCAGTCCATTTTAAATGAGCTTGGGCCCAGAGAAGGTAGCAGCATTTCTGGATCATGTTTATATATGGTTTCTTCTTTGCATTTAAGAGTTTTAACTTGCATTTATGGATGCAGCAACGAACTGTTTTCACAGACAGTGGTTTTCAGAAGTGTTTCTGAGCCCATGCAGTGATTTCCACTACAGAATCATGTCTGTTTTTAATGCAGTGCTGTCTGAGGGCCCAAAGATCACGGCCAGCAAATTCTGGTTTTTGACCTTGTCCCTTACATACAGAGATTTCTCCAGATTCTCTGAATTTTTTAATGATACTGAATTTTTTAATGATTTTTATGTACTGTAGTTGATGAAAAGCAAAAGTTCTTTGCTATTTTACATTGAAAACGTCATTCTTGAATTGTTGCACTATTTGATCGTGCAGTCTTTCACAGAGTGGTGACTCCCTCCTCATCTGTACTTCTGAAAGACTCCGACTCTCTGGGATGCTTTTTTATACTATATTATTTCCAATCATGTTACTGACCTGTTGCCAAGTAACCATCAGGTGCTTTTTTTTTTAGCATTACACAACTTTACCAGCCTTTTGTTGCCTCAGTCCCAACTTTTTTGAAATGTGTTGTTGGCATCAAATTCAAAATGGGCATATATTTTTCAAAAAACAATACAATTTCAACATTTGATATGTTGTCTTTGTACTATTGTCAATGAAATATAGGGTTTAAATGATTTGCATATCATTGCATTTTGTTTTTATTTACATTTTGCACAGCGTCCCAACTTTTGGAAATGGGGCTGTACTTTTTTAAGTTACATTCAACCAACCATCTACTAAATTGACTGTAATTTTCTTTAACTCTAAACCTGGCTCTAATCCTAACCTTAACCTAAACCCAAACCTAAAACCAACCCTCACCCTGGTCCTAGCCCTAACCCTAGTCCAAATCCTGACCCTAATCCCACCACTGTTTGGAACCAAATGAGTTTCAACAGATAGTTTGTTAACAATTTGTACATCTGTTGTAACATCTGTAGATAATCTATAGGGGACTATAGTGGACTATCCAAACAAAGTGAGACCAAGACGAACCCTCCTCAGCATCTGACTCTGCTAGTACTAGCTCAAGTGTTAGCTTTAGCATTAGCTTTTCTGAAGGAGTAGCTTCTGTTGTTAAACCTCCTGCTTATTAGACATGAAGCCCTGCTGCTTTATTGTCCAGTGGCTAAACGATTTTCCTGTTTGATTAATGTAAATATTGATTTTGATTTTTGTTCACTTTTAAATGGACTATTTAATCAGTTCTCAAACGTATATCTTGACTGAAAATGTTTAATTTTGGCAGGAAAAATGTTTTAGATGTACTTCTGAAAGCTATTAAATTTTCCTTTGTGCCTCTGAAGGGCTTAGTCTGGTAGCACAAAGGTTATGGATGCTATGAGGTGCTCTAAACTGAAAGTCAGCTGAGTCATACTTTCTCCTAATTTTGGAAACAGTCAATTGTTATTAAGGTATCAGTTATCAATAGGTGGGCTGTGTGTCAGTTGGCACTAATGATTATAAGGATGAATTTGAAAAGTTAAATATGTTAGTTTCTGTGATTGTGTTCATATCTGGAAGTTGTAAGTCACAAATCCTGCAGGGTTTGCATAGACAAGTCGATTAATAAATCCACTGTGGGCTGCAGTTGACCAACTGAAGACAGTGGCTGAAATACAGTGTGAGAGGCATGAGGAGAGTATATAAGAAACCTTAGAGTGGAAATAAGACACAAAATGAAACCAATTCCACTGCAGGCTGTGTAAGACTTCGCTAAAATATGGGCAAGCAAGCCAGAAGGTTTTAACAACCTTTGATAGGAAAGGGCAATTTGACTGACATGCAAGACATCCAATCACAGATCATTTAGCACAACACGCGCAATGGAAACAAACTTAGAGTCGGCAAAGCATGAGGATATCTCATTTACTTACTACCTACAGTTTCAAACACAATTCAGGAATAAATAGGATATCAGGAATTCATGTTTCCTGGTTCAGCAACAAAGCCTTTACCTCCCTTTTACAGGCCTATTAGTGAGTAGACGCAATTGCTTGCTACTAGCATTTAGCTTCACAAACAATCATTTATTTCCCCTGAGACAGTGCAGGGGCCAGAGCCAGTTTAAATTCTCAGTGAGAGGTGAGATTCTGAGAGCTGGGGTGATTTCAGCTTGCAGTTTACATCAGATAGTCAGTGTACTTCTGTGGACAGAGAACCTGAGGCTGGAACTTACTGAAATACAACAAAAACTCTTTGGAGACATTAAGTAGAACTTCTTTCTTTTCAATACAGTCATGCAGGAGGCAATGGAAGAGCACAAATGTATGTGTGTGTGACCGAGAGAGAATGTTTCTGTGAAACATGTCAGTGTGAAATACACTCTGTAATGCTGAGAACATTCATTTACATCCATGGATTTGTTGATTTGTTTCAGAGCCTCTAAAAACTTTGTTGTAGTAATTTGCGTAGTATAATTTATTATTAGGGAACAAAGTAAAGGTCAACCTGGTCGACATTGGTTTAACATGATGCACTACATGTCCAAAGGTTGGTAGACACTTGCTTATCCAGTGTTTTATCCGAAATCAAGGATATTGATAGGGAGTTTATCCCTTTTTACTGCAGTAACATCCTCTACTTCCCTAAGAAGGATTTACACCAATGGTTCTCAACTTTTTCTACCTCAGGGTCCACCTATTTATCACTTGAATCACCTGAAGGCCCACAAAAAACCTTTTTGCTTAAAAAAATATTTGGGAAATTTTCAACTCGGCAATGTTTGGCCACCACAATATGTAATGTGTATTGTTGAACATAAAACACCAACAGATTAGGCTAACAAAAGCTTATTTTATACCTGAAATCAGGCTGAATGGTGGCAAATTAAGTGAAATTTTTGACTCACAAATGGACGACTGAAACTTTGAGCAACATATTTTGTTTCTAGAGGGGAAAACAATAGATGAAGCTGCTTTGTGCGATCTTCTTGCATGGCTTGTATTAATATTGTTTACTGTGTTAAAACATGTTATATGGCTTTCTTATTATTACTTATTAATTAAAAATGATTTTTTCACCAATTTTTGTGATATAAAGTGCCATCACTGGCCCACTAAGGAACTCTGGCTCTCACCTCGGTACTGGCCTAAGGACCACGGATGATCCATGGCCCAGTGGTTGAGTAAACCTGCTTTATACTAGATGTTGAAACATTACTATGAGGATTTGATTGCATTCGGCCACAAGATTATTAGTGAGATCAGAGATGGCATAGAGGATGGAGGTGGCGTGATAGCACTTTTTACTTTTCTGATACCACTACTGTTAATCTACAAAGCTTTAAAATGAGATATTTGAGGCACCTCACTTAAGATTTCTGGCTAGATTTGTTACAAAATTGGATCAGATTCATTCTTTTTCCCCACTGATATCCGATCCAGCATTTTCTGCTGATATCAGCCTGATACCAGTACCTGTATTGGACTGTTGTTCTCTCAAAGGTTGGATGATTAATTCTGAATCGGAGGACACAGTTCCATTGCTCCACAGTCCAATGCTGGGAGGCTTTACACCCCTGTAGCCAACAGTTTGCATTGGGCATGGCGACCATAGACTCATGTGTGGCTGCTCCAGAGAATCCCATTCAATAAGTCAGTGTTTTTATATAAGGTAATATAAGCTATATGTGCACAACTTAACACCTGTATCAGCAATGGGTGCACCTTAAAGTAGTAGTAATTAGAAGAGCCGTTTGGACCTTTTTGGACAAATAATATATATATGCAAGTCTGAATAATGATTTATTAGATTCGATGTAAAGCAAAACAAATGCACAAATCCTTCCAGTGGAAAAAATATGTCAACTCACATCTTGTTGTTTTCCCCCTCCTCACTGTTGCTTTTTTCTTCCAGGCAACGCAGCTGTTTTGTGGTGCACCTGCTGCACTAATGTCTTCAAGTCGGTCACTAGCCGCTTTATCAAGAACCTGGCCTGTTCGGGGATCTGTGCCAGTCTTGTGTGCGTGCCCTTCGACGTGCTCCTGAACGCCAGCCCGCGATGCTGCCTGTGGATCCACACATTGCTGCTCTGCAAGGCCATCAAGTTCCTGCACAGGCTCTTCTGCTCCGTCACTGTCCTCAGCTTCGCTGCGATTGCACTGGACAGGTGAGAGGGATGCATGCATGAATTCTAAAGGAGAAAAAGAAAGGAGTAGAGTACTACTATCAACTGTATTTGTAGTCTACTGCTTATTTATTTGATGAATAATCGAGCAATTTGTGAGCTCAACTTTCTTAAAAAGTGCTGGAGACAAATAAACAGTGCCTATCTATGCTTCTGTCAAAGCGGTGCTACAACACATAACATACATATCCACATGCTTACTGGCAGATTATGTTACGTTGTGTTTAATGCTGCACTATGTATGTCTTTTGTGTTAGAATTAAAAGAAGTGGCGTTACTGAGTCAGGAGAAACATGCTAAAATATGGGCAGCTGCAAGTCACCCTGTAAAGCCTGGAATAATAATTCAAATGTCAGAGGCTTTGGGTTTGTTTTGGACCACGTCAGACATCTTTACATATTAACATCACATGCACAGGCTCAAAAAGAAAGGCACAGCTCAATGTTCAGGTTTCAAATGCAAAATCAACATTAAACTGATGAAAATATAATGACAATAGTAGATAATTCAGTTACATCCTCAGAAGACACAACCTTCACCAAATTCTGACTGAGATCTCATTGAATACTCTTTCAGCGTGCTCATAATTTTCTTCCACATGTTGTGTGCAATTACACATTTCCAACAAAGAGGTCTCCAAATCCCCAAAACTTAGATGGTGTAGCTTTAAACTCTAAATTCTATCTTTATGGCTATATGCTCTCTGTAATGCTTACACTAAACTTTTTATACCTTGTTTCAGTGATGTGGTGAGGGGCAAAAGTGGTGGGATGTTTCATATTGAAATATATTCCAAACATTAAAGTACATTGAACAAAAACATATTTTGGCCATTGTCATACATATTGAAATATATTTGATAAATACAATGAGGAACACAGCAAAACATCTTAAAGCTGGACTGAACCATTTGTTTAGGTTCAACCGGAAACAAAATTACCTGCTAACAGAAACTGACGGAAGTGAGAACCCGGAAATGTGAAAAGGGTCTATTTGCAAAAAGTTAAACTGTGCCACTGTGTCCAACTTTGTTGCTGACTCCACCCACTTCACATCACCAACGTTCACACTGCCTCCTGTCGCTGGAAATCACCAGCTCTCATTGAAAATGAATGAATTCCGGCTGCTTTGTAGAGTTGCATCGCTGCCAGTGGGACACATGGTAATCGTGACAGTCCCAGAAGGGAGAACCTGAGGTACTCCAATCCTGTTTCTTTCCTGCTCACTTTCAGTTTGATGCAACCTGTGGGCAATTTCCAATCAAAACCCAACCAGCTATTGCTCATGCTTGTGCTTCCATAGCAACATACCCTGCCATAGCCCTCTATCAGTTCACTGAATAATTTATTTTCCTTGGGTCTGCAGGGAGTTTTTCTCCTCGCATGAGCTACCAAGATTTTTCTCGCAATGAAAAATACACACACAGCACACGCACACACACACGTACATTCAAAAAGAATAGCTACAGTGGACATGTACTCATGCAATGCCAGCACCACCATTCAAGTCCATTTTCAGGTCTCAAGAAGCACATGTTTTAAAGAAAGCTCTCTCTCCCTCCCTGCTGGCCTCTTTCACACCCAGAGGCACTCTCAGCTCAGAGTTGTGATGCAGGAGTGAGCAGCAGAAGGGCCTTCTGTCAGCCAGACAGCACCGATGTGTGATCGTGACCAAGATGCTACGAATGGAGCTGAACCAGAGCCAAGGGACTAGTAGCTCTTGTAGGCCTAGAGTGCTCTCCAGAATTGTTGGTCCTTGATAAACATAACCCTTGATAAAATATCAAACAAATTAGCATTTACACTGAAAATATGAGCAACATCTTACAAATCAGTAAGGGAAAATTATTCAAAGAAAAAACCTTATACAAACCTCAGGTCCTAAAAAGTTGTGACAATATGTAAAATGCTAATAAAATCAGAAAGCAGTGATTAGTACATTCTGTTTGACCTGAATTAAATTGAAAACAAAAACAAGATATTTCATGTTTGTTTTTTGTTGTTTTTGTAAATGTATGCTCATTCCAAATTTGATGCCTGCAACACATTCCAAAAAAAGCTGGAACAACAACATGCTTAGCACGGTATTACATCACCTTTCCTTTTAAAAACATTTAATAACCGTTTGGAAACTGAAAGTACCAATTTACCTACTTTTGAAAGTGGAATTTTTTGCCATTCTTCAGTTATACAAGTGTTCGGCTATGCAACCGTAAAGAGCCTTCGTTGTTAAAGTTTGCATTTTGTAATGCACCACACATTTTCAGTGGCAGACAGGTCTGAACTGCAGGCCTGAAACCAATGACTGAGAGCAGCACATCGCTTTTGTTGGAAGAAAACCTCGTATCCCCATTTTTGTCGTTTTCAATTTTTTGAAAATACCTGTTACCCTTTACAGTGTGTGTACATTTCAAGTTGTATGGACTAAAAGAAATGACCTACAATGATTTGGAAAAAAGTCTGGTTCCATTGACTTACATTAAAAGTAAATTATGTTTTTTCCTTCTCCTGTAAAGTTACCATTTTGGGGATACAAGGTTTTCTTCCGACAACAGCGATATGTTGCCTTCACAGATATGCACATTGTGTTTGCTTTTGGTTGTGAAAGTTTACCAAATGTATATATTTTTAAATCATACAGTTTTTAAACAATTATGGCTTAAACAAAAAAACCTTTGCTTTAATCCGTCACGTAATTGTTTTTCCATCACTTCTTTCCATCCCTATACAAGACTTATAAAGACTCCTGGGAAATGCAGTCCGTATACTGTCAGCATGCTACATGTTTCTTTACAGTAGACGACTGAGCTCCACTTTTTAATGTTCAAGGATATTTATATTGAGGTGAACTAAGCTGGCTACCTGTGATAATGTAAGACACTGCCAGCTTGTTATCTACCCCAGGCTGTAGCTCTCTTCTAGTTTAAAAAGACCAATGCTGTAGCCTATTTTGTTAGCGATAGCTAGCTAGCTAGTTTAGTAGGTCTAGCAGACTTACTTTAATTCACTAAACTCATATAAGGACTTCTATATCTATAGGTGTACATTTGTGTCTGTGTGACACTTACATGTGTTTAAGGTAGCCAGATGTCTGGTTTGGCCTGGCTGTTTCGCTGACCAGGCGTTAAAATGTCTGGGTGAGTCTCACTCTAAAGGCACGAGCAGTGGTATGAGCAGTGTGGCCCTCTGCAAAGTTGAAATGAAACCTACAGAATTGTTTTAGTTCAAGATCAAGTTGATTTGTTTACAAAGACATTTTTTCAAAGCCTGTTTTGCCCATCTTTAGCACTTAGTGCCCATAATTCTCCTGACTTAAACATCTTCTAACATTGGTTTGTTTTCCTTTACTTGTAGGTACTATTCTGTGTTGTATCCACTGGAGAGAAAGATATCTGATGCTAAATCCAGAGACCTGGTGATATACATATGGGTGCATGCAGTGGTGGCCAGCATCCCTGTGTTTGCTGTTAGCAATGTGACTGACGTGTACGCGACGTCCTCCTGCTCTGAAGGCCACTCGTTGGGGCATCTTGTTTACATGGTGGTGTATAACATCACCACGGTGATCTTACCCCTGGCGGCCGTGTTCCTGGCCATGGCATTGATCCGTCGGGCGTTAAGTGCGAGCCAAAAGAAGAAGGTGATCATTGCAGCTTTGCGGACGCCACAAAACAGCATCTCCATCCCATACGTTTCCCAGCGTGAGGCTGAGCTTCATGCTACGTTGTTGTCCGTAGTCCTGGCCTTTGCGCTCTGCAGTGCCCCTTATGCTGCGCTGGTGGTTTACCGAGCGTTGCCTCCAGGGGCCTCCGAGGCTTCGGCTTGGCTGCGGCTGACTGCTGTCTGGCTGCCCAAAGTGTCGCTGCTGACCAACCCTCTGTTGTTTGTGACAGTGAACCGCTCTGCCCGGCGCTGTCTGCTGGACGTTTTGGCCCGCCTGCAGCGCCGCTACAGCCGCAGAAATGCAGTCAGCGTCGGGGGTATGGCTGAAGCGGGGCCGCTGGGGGCCGAAACCGTGGCACGATCGGGCAGCCAGCTGCTGGAAATGTTTAACATCGGCCAGCAGCAGATATTCAGACCCAATGAGGAAGAGGATGAAGAGGAGGAAAACGAAATCCCCTCAGTGGCATCAGCCACTTTCCCATCCAAACCAGATGAAGGGGCTGGGTCTGGGAAAGCAGCCACTGTAGGGTCAGGGTCAGCAGCCCAGCAGGTCACTGGGGAAGGAGCAAAGGAGGTGGTGGCTTTACCCTTACCAAAACACTCCCCCATTCAATCCTGTGCCTACTCGTCCTCGCAGGTGGCACCAGCCACGCCCAGTGACCCCGAAGACACAACCCAATTTGGCTTTGGCCCCTTCGAGCTACCCCCTCAGTGGCTGCCCGAGACCAGAAATAGCAAGAAAAGGCTCCTCCCCCCTCTGGGGAACACGCCGGAGGAGCTGATCCAGACCAAGCAGCCCAAAGGGCGACCTGAGAGACGCATCAGCAGGAACAACAAAGTCAGCACCTTCCCCACTGTGGACCCTTAAGAACCAATCAGCATGGCAGTTTATAAATGAGGGACCTGGAGGTCCTGCACTGCAAAAAATGGTATCTTGCAAAGTGATGTGCTCCTAAATCTAGTTGATATATCTAATATTTACTATTTTAAGATAACTGTAAGCTTAATATAAAGTTATTTAACTTACGTCTAGACCATTTTTATTCATTTATAATTATCTCACTATATTGGCAGGTCATTTTTGTTTGTTGTAGGAAATATGCTTGAAACCAGCAAAATTATGTGTGCATATAGTGAGAAAATTTCACTTGATAAAATCACTTAAAACAAGTAAAAATGGTCTAGAAATGAGTTAAATAATCTTATACAATCTCAAAATGAGAAATATTAGATATATAGTCTAGATTTAAGATCATTTCACTTGTCAAGATGTTATTTTTTTCAGTGTGGAAAAGCAACAAACCATTTTTAAACTGATGATTCCTTTTCTTTTTTTGTGAATGTCTTGATTTTTTTTATGGTGATGGAGCAGGAGAGGAATCATTTGAACACTTTTAATGTAATAATTTGTGAAATCAGTAGAAATCAGTTAATCTTGGGCACCAAAACACTGTTAAGAGAGGAGAAATTGATCTTTCACAGGAAATGCAAGGAAGTGATAGAATTTGTAATATGGATTTATGTAGAATTCAATTTGTTGTACTTGGGAATAAAATGAACTGAAAATGGTTGCGGTGCTGTGAAGACAATTTGAGAGACAAAAGATGATTCTTGAGATCACATAGAAGTTCAGGCTAACATGGCAGAAATCCCAGAAATTATCCATTTCTGGGACACCTTGGAACACTCACTCAGTTTTTTTGTTTGGGAATCAAATGCAGCAGTAAGGTACAGCTCAGTAGAAGCTTTGTAAAAAGATATTACGTCTTTCTTATTTCTTACATGCATTCTGTTGGAAGGCAGAAGGTTGTGTTAATCACAAATTCCTTCAGTATCACAGGAGAGATACATTAACACAGTTCATTTGATTGCAAAGCATCAGTATCAAGCTCCAGTGAACACATGCTGGTTGACAGAAACTACAGGGTGCCTTAATGGACCCAATGATTTAGAACAAAATGCAAAGCAGCTAATGTTATTCTTGCCTAAAAAGCAGCTGCAGAGTAGAAAGGAAATGGACTCGAAACTCAAGCAGTATTGGAGCTGGATTAATTTTATCTGGGGAGGTATTTTATCATAGGTAAATACTGGATTTTAATCCAGTGTTCAGTCTGACATCAATGATTTTGGAATAATTTTATGCCAGTATGAATCTGCAGTGTATTTCTTTTACAGTCTGACAGTAATAATTGCGGAGTAGTTTTAATCCAGTATGGATCTGCAGTGTATTTTTTTTACAGTCTGACAGTAATAATTGCGGAGTAGTTTTAATCCAGTATGAATCTGCAGTGTGTTATTTTTACAGCCTAACTGTAATAATTGTGGAGTGATTTTAATCCAGTTTGAATCTGCAGTGTTTGTTATTTTTACTGCCTGATTATAATACTTATGAAGTAGTTTTATCCAGTATGAATCTGTAGTGTGGATAATTTTTTATAGTCTGACAGTAATAATTATGGAGTGATTTTAATCCAGTATGAATCTGTGGATAGTTTTTACAATCTTACAGTAATACCTATGGAGTGATTTTAATCCAGTATGAATCTGCAGTGTAGATAATATTTACAGTTTTACAGTAATAACTGTGGAGTGCTTTGAATCCGGTATGAATCTTCAGTTATCATTAGTAGATGTATCTCAAAGCCAAGCATGCAGCTTAGGTAGACTACATTTCTCAGCCATTATGTCACTGATGGCTGCCCCATTTTGCCCTTCAATTAAGGCTGAAAAATGTACCTTCGTTTCTAGCTCGGCTCTTGTGTCCTTCCAGACTTTAAAACACTCACAGTCCGAGTTTCATGTTTATTGGAAAATGTCAGAAACAGCTGCAAGTGGGTGACATCAGAGTTCATACATTCAGAAAATATTAATGGAATGTAATTTGTACACATAGTTCTTAAACAGGTTTAAAATTGTAGCATATAGTAGTTTTTAAAGAATACCCCAACCCAGAACACCTCAGCATAAAATACATCACAGTGTTGGGTACGCTAGTGTTATTTGCATTGCTTGCATCAGTAAGATACGCATTGGTACAGCTTACCAAGGGACCGAGCACTGAAGAGGATCCCTCATACACCAGTGCTTGCAAAGTTTCTCCTACCTTAGCTGCAGCCTTGATTTGTGACATGACTGTTGAGTGTGTGGCGTGAATGTCCAGGCTATGACCTTTCAATCTGTGGTACGGGGAAACTATCCACTTCATCTCGTACCAATTGGTCAGTCAAATCCCTTACACATTACATTACAGAACCTTGACAGGTAAAACGTGTCCAGCTCCAATAGTGCTTCAGACACACAAACTGCATGTGATCACATAGTTGTCAACATGTTAAAACAGGATAGTCTCATTTTCTACAGGCCATTTCCATTTAATTCACCCTCTCCAGTACGGTAGTGCTCTGGCCTCAGGCTTTCTGAGGTACAGTCCATTAGTCTATGTGTCAGTCACTGTTATCACTACATCATGTTTGACAGAATGCCGTTATCTTCCAGTGATCCTACCCACCTCCACCTTGGCTCCAACTTCAAATATCCAGTTCACTGCCCTTTTTAAGTCCAATCAAGAGTCAAAAACCTGACCTTATGTGGACAGGTAATGTGTTAACCTCTGATTTTCTCAGGTTCACGCTATTTATTTTTTACATGAATTTCGTGCTAGCTCAAGGTGGCGGCCGCAGGTGTCATGCAGAAGTGTGACATGTCTGAAGAAATCTCATTCTTGATCCTTGTCACGACTGTAGACGCAAACGTAAGATGACTTTTCTGGAGCAGACAGATGAGACGGCAGCTGCCACGTCTTTCACTCTCTGAAATCCTTCTCTGTGAATCAAGCATGCTGTGCAATGAGGAGAGGGAGAAGAATCCCAATGATGCTGGAGCAGGCTGTGTGGAGATGCATGGGTGAATTTAGCAAGCTAAGCCCCAGTTCGGTATGATGAAGAGCAATCACTAATTTTATCTCCGCTCTGCTTTGCTCTGTGAGCTATGCTGCGAGTCAGTACGATTTTGTGCCAAAATGCAATCATAAAACCAATTTTTTGTATCTTAGATTATTTGCTAAATTTGACTGAACTCTACACGTGGCACCCTTGTATGTTTATAGGCCTCTGATTTTGAATTTCACCATCTAATTGGTTTTATGAATACTTGAAGGGGAACCATTATTAACACTGCAAAATGGCTATTTTACATTCTAGACATTACAACCACTTGTTCCTATCACTACCACTGTAAAGAAAGTCTGAGTTGGTACGTTTCTCTACTTTTCATCTCAACAGTTGAGTTATGCATACATTTTTTAAAAAGTCAGTGGAATTTCCATATAAAATGTAAAACAAAAATGTACATTTTTGTTTATGTAAAATTTTATGACAAAGTGTTTGTTATTTGTCACATTTTATGAAATATAAACATTATAGGCCATATAGACTTCTGTAGTCATGAGTCATCCTGTGATCAGCATCATGCCCATATTAGGAACCCCAAAGCTAAGCATATTTTTCTATGGGAGAAATTACTGTTTTTTTTTTTTAATATACAGCTGTTGTGCCAATTTTGTGGTAAACAAAAATGTTTGTGGTATGTTTTTGTCTTATGTATATCCCCCACCCCTGGCCCCGTCCCATGTGTGACTGCATCCTCTACATTTGAGGTAATTTAGAAGTTGAAATGTGAGTAATGCTACATACGTGCTACATGCAAGCTAACACTCGTGTGCACTGAAATGGCATTGCATGAAATCTGCCAAATCTACTATTAAACTAAAACATTATTACATACCAACACCAACTACTGAAACTGTGCAGTTCCACTGCTAAAGCAACTTAAGCACCATATTTGTCAAAGCGTACTTGTTTGTCTGTGGTATATTAGTGAGGTTCCAGTCTAATAACATTAGGTCAATGCTCAACAGTGTTGCTTGCATGTACTGTAGCAATATTCATATTCGTAATGACCTTGTTTTTGGAAGACACTCTGATATTCAGAGGAAAACTGTATGTAGAACAAATGTATCAGGTTTGTTACATCATTTTTTTTTACAACAAGGCATGAAGATTCATTTTTACTGTAGAAAAATCAGCTTAGAATCAGAGTTCCTAATATGATGACATAACTTCAGAGGTCAACTGTACAGAATTAAGCGCTGTTTAATGAACAAAAAAGCTTTTATGCATAAGCTTACTCTCTTAAAAAAGTTGGTTCTTCAAGGGTTCTTTAGTAAAGGCGATGATTCTATTTAGAACCATAAGTTCTATATAGAACCATTTCATGCTTGAATTGTTCTTTGCATGATGAAAAGGTTCTACATAGAATAATTTACAACATGAAAATATATATAGCACCAAAAATGGTTCTTCTATTGTTACAAGCTTGACATCGTAATAAAAGAAGAACCCTTTTTGGAGCTACACAACACATTCTTCATCAATCTGAAGAATGATTTCAACATGCAAAGAACTATTTCAGCATGAAAAGGTTCTATATATTCTATATATAGAATTATTTCTATGACTCATGGTTCTAAGCAGAACCCTTGAAGAAACCGTCTTTTTTAGAGTGTATGTAAAAGACTATGATGTTTTGTGCATCAATGCAGACTCTTTAAGAGAAATGTGATGCATCTAGGAAACAATTATTTTTCTTACTGCTACTATGCGAAATGAACAAAATGTCATACAGACACAACGTGTGTTGGTTCATGTGAATGCCTCGACACCCAAAGATCATCTGTGATTGGTCAGGACATCCTCAGAATGCAATAACTCATTCAGTGATTGGTTACGGGCTCATCTGCACATTGGAGCCCCCTGTGATGTCAGTGTTGTGAAGGCCAATGTTGTGAAAGTGATTTATTGTGCAGCCTTAGTTTTATGGTCAAACAGTCGATTTCACAGGCAGCATTAGAACGTATTGACTGAGGCTACAGGTCACAGCGAAGAAGCAAAGTGGTGCCATGTTTCTTGATCCCAGAAAAGCATGATCAAAGCGCTCTGGTGAAATATTTGCTTTCCTCAAAGGCCTCTGGGTCACTACTCATGCTCCCGCATGCGGCCTCAAAGGAAGATCTATATCTCTGCAGGTGTGCCGTAGTATAGCAACAGTGTGACAGCTCCTCACTACACTGATTTAGCTGTAAAAATGAGCATGTATCAATTTATATATAGCCACTGGATACTGAAGAATCCCAGAGAAATATTTCTGATGTTTATGTAGATCCACAGAGAGATCGAGAGCAAAGACCAGTGCAGGCAATTGATATTCAGCCCCAGATGCAGGAGCTTTCACTGTGTACAGCTCATAGTAATGAACCCAGAAGGCTTAACTTTGTAACAGTCGTCTGAACAGCTTGCTTGCAAGATTTAACTGCTGCCACTGCCATCTATGAGTAACTCAACCTTATCTTTAGTCCCTTAAGATCTACTTACTCCTTTAGAGAGAAAGAGAGAGAGTGAGTTTACGGTACCACCCTTTTATTTTTTTAATATCCAGTCAAAGCAGCCATTAAGCACGATTTATTAATTTATCACTGTCAGAAAAAACAAACATATATTGAACAGAAGCCTCA